CAACAGATAAAACCCAAACAAAGAGTACTCTAAACTAATCTAAGTGTCCACAGCATGCTCTCCCACCCCAATGTTTTAAATGTTTTTATCAATCCATTAAATTAATATTTCACATACTTTCTCTTAAAAGAATTGATCGTAACACAGGGGCCCTGCTAGTTCTTGATAGTGTGTGAAAGCAGCAGCCTGGGCTGAATTTTATCTCTAATTCAACTCTTTCCTGAATTAGCAGCTGACACGAGGAAGGCTTACTGTCAGTATCTAGGAGACATTTTGACTTTGGAAACCATTTTCTCTCTGCCAGACACTTGGTTCCAGCTGGCTGAGACATGATTTGATTCTGCTGTGTTGCTGCCAGGGCAAGAGGTCTGCCCAGCTGGACAGTCCTTGCGCTGGGGTCGTGATCCAGGGGACCCTTACACATCCCTCGCAGCTGTTCTGTACCTTCTCCTGCTTCCTGATGGCAGCAGCCCTGCTCTTCACACCTGGGTGTGTAAGGAACAGGAGTTTCCCCTTGTGCAGATGCTCAAATTGGATCTGGATTCCAGGCAGCTGCATTTGCAACGTGACCCATGGCTACAGTCCCAAACATCCAAATCTGCATCCCTACCAAGGCATGCATCGGATGCCTTTTGCCAGTGCAAACAGGTGTCCTTCCTGGGAAAAACAAGATGCAGGATCAAAGGTGCTGATGCATTACTGTATCTTACTCACTTAAGCCACAGCACAGCTGGAGCACACATCCAGACCTAAGAAGTGCTCCTGGATCCTGCAGTTTAGGCACAGAGGCTTAAGGAAAACTCCATTCCCTTTAGTGATTTCTGGCATTTCCCTACCTCTGCTTCTTTAGGTGTAGTCCTTGTCCTCTCTAGTACACAGGGTCCTTGGCTGGACGCCCTCACTTCCTCAGAGCTGAGGACTGCTTCTGGCTTCCCAACTTCCAGCAGGTCCACCACCACTACACCAACTGTCCTGCTACTCAAACCACCTCCTTTCCCCTGCCCAAGGCTTGCTCCTTTTTCATGTGCAGCTCCAAGTCAGTTGGCATTGCTCTCTACCAAATCCTCACTTTTTGTTCTGCTTTAGCCAGCTTTCCAAACTCCATGTTCTGCACAAGGAGCAAGCTGGTTCTCCTCCACACCAGCAAACACGTTCCCATTAACCTTAAGGATGTCCTTCACCTCGGACTGGGTTGGGCTCTCCTAAGGCCACTGTCAGCAAAGTGGGATTTCATACACCTCAGTCCCTCAGTTTTAGTGGTGAGCTGCACCCAGGACTCACCAGCTGCCTACAAGGCAGTTGCCCACAGTCATCACAGATCCTCAACAGCCTGTTACTAACCCACGTGCACTTGGCAGTTCAGTCCTCAGCAGTTTGGTCCCTTCCAACATGCTCCCATGGGAATACCAGCATCCTGAATGGCTGATTCCAGCCAAGACCAGGAGTATGGCAGGTCCACGGGACAGCTAAGATTTTGTTCACACTGTTAGAAGAGGCATTCTAAAAATGTGCCCACAAAGAGTGCATGATTGATTTTTACCTCCTTAGTCCACCACTCCACAACTGAAATGGAAGACAGACATTTACATAAGTAAAACCAACAATTATTCTGATAATAACTGCAGCTTAAAAATCCTTAACTTCACTGACATTGCTGGGGACCTCAGTGGAGCAAGGACAGTGGCACTCAGCCAGCAGGAAGGGCAGCAACATTACCATGCCGAGATCAAGAGAGTTATTAACCCAGAGTCCTTCCACTGCTGAGTGCAGATGGTCATTTCAGCTATTTCAAAGCCCCACTGCAACTTCCTGGTGAACAGAGCTCAGTGTTTGCATGGCTGAGGAACAAAAGGGGTATCAGAACATTAGAGTGCAAGTCCACATCCATCTCTGGAGAGACAGGCACACAGCCCCATGTGCCACAGGACACATCTGAATCTCCATGACCCTCACGCTCTGGAAATATTCAAATGGGATCCTGTTTCTTGCTCCAAGTCCCGTTGCTTTCCTGCCTACACTGTCTGCCTGCTTCTGCACACTAAGACATCATCTGCACCCGGTTCATTGCCCAGAACTCGGCCCAGATTCACTGGAGGAAGAGTTGAGGAAGATGAGAAGAGTCTTCTTGCCTGCTGTCCAGAAGGTAAAGAAAAACAAAAGCAAAGAAAAACAAAAGGACTTTGGCAGAAAATGAAATATTCCATAAGTACAAGTAACAATAGATTGCACATTTTTCAAAAGCAGAGCCATTTTTCCAGAATTAAAGGGGGGAAATACTGGAACCCAGAGGTATCATTAGCACTGCTCAGATATGGCCAGACATGTTTCCACATTGCCAGGGCTCCCAGCACTTCTGTGAATTTCCTTTTACACTCCTTTGATAGGACCCTCCCATAGTAACTTCAATGAAACACCTCAAGAATTTTTATTGTTTGTAGACTTCAGCTCTCATTAGGCTGTTCTCCTATTTCAGAGGAAAATGTCAAGTTTCCTTTAAGCTTGCCATTTATCAGCTCCTCTCCTTTTTCTGTAGGATGACTATTCCATTAAATACGTGGTCCTCAGCCTGAGACAAAATGGATGATGTGTCTGTTTGAAATAGGATTGTTTACTTTGTCAATGCTCCTGGGATCAATTTCATTTTTTTCCCCACCATCTCCTATGGAGAACATCTTGCCAAGTGCAGTATTCATCTCCCTGAATGAGCTATCGAGATCCATTTTTTTTTTTTGAGAGAGAAATCATGCTGCAACCCAAACTGGTCAGAATCTCCCACAATTTCAGGACCGTGCACGGGTACGAATAATACAGAACTTTATCTGGCACAATTTCAGTATTTCTTTCACAGTTTCTCAAGAAAATAGATGCCGTGAAAGAGAAAATTATACGCTTGTAGTTTTAACACCAGAAATAGAAAGCGGCGCACGTTCTCCCTCGCTGGGTGCTCAGACGTGTCTGAACACACTCTCAAAGGCACAAAATACAGGAGCAACACTGCAACGTCCCCGTTGCACTGAATCCACCCCGAGCAGCTTCACCAGCGAGACAACTCACAGGCGAGATCCGCTAATAAGCTGCTGGCAAATGAGATCTTAATTGTAGATTTATTTAATTCAGAGACAAGCGCTCATGTTGTATTAAGAGCAGCCTATTAACATTCATGCGTGAGCATTCACTAAGTGTGAATAGATACAATTCAGCGCAAAACCGCATTTCTAAGCGCTGGAAGAGTAATCACCTAAACCATCACCCTGCTCTGAGCGGGAGGGGTCGGCCACCAGGGAATGAAACGCCGTTCCAGGCATTGTGTCGGGTTCTCGTACTCAAGCATGTCTCACTATCAATCATTTCCGAAGCAACAGCGCCGAGACTTCCCAAAGCTCCCGTTATTGTCTTGTACACTCCCCAGCATTCAAACCAAATAGGAAGTGCAAAAAAATCGTCAGCAGAATTTTGAGACAAAAAATTTAAAAGCTACATCTGTTGGAGGATACTATGTTCTGCCTGACACCCCTGCACGATGCTGATGACAAGTCTAGGTTAATCACACAGATGATGAATTGATTCTTACGTCAACTCCTTTAAAAACAACAACGTTACAGGTGTAGCAGCCGGGGGCTGATGTATTCCTGCTGGCACCTGCACTTCTTGGGATGAGCCACTAGACAAAGGAGCACGCCGGCATTTTGAAGGATGCGACCATGACAGCATCAAAATATACCTTAGTTACCAACTTTCATTATTTGCCCCTCACAAGATTCACTTACAGGTTCAGTCTCTGGGACAGTGTGTATTGGGAAAAACACCCCTCAATGACCAGTGAGCCACCGGGAACGGACAAAGTGCTCACCGACCGCTCTCCATCCACTCCCGCGTACGCCCTCCCTACCCACACCACGGCTGTGCTGCCCTCTACTCCTGGCACCTTCTCCAGCACCCACTGCCCTTCCTCTCCCATTCAACCCAATTCCTTTTTACTATGCCCTACCAATGCTCCTCTTTTGGAAGCCTGGTCTCATTTTATGGCTACTGCCAACTCTTTGAGGCCAGAAAGGTCTTTCTGACACGGGGGGGAAAAAAATAATAAAAAAATCACTGCATCTGTTCTGAAAGGCTTTTGTTTTGGGATTTACTTCGCCCCCATTTAAATTGAATCCCTTTATTCCTCTCTCCAAAGGCAGCATGGTGTACAGTGCTAACAACCCCTCGGAACAATCGGCCCCAGAGCTCACGGTGTATAAATCAGGGTGGACACACCATCCAGCAGAATAGACGCCTCCTCCCCGAGCGCTGCCCTTCATTCACACAGAGGATGGAGCATGAGCCGCTCCATTTGCAAACACCCTGGGCTCCTTATCGATTAGAAGCAGGAGCGCGTTTCACCGCCGGAGCGCATTCCCAGTTTTGATCTCCGCAGGAACACACTGCCCTGCACCAAGCCCGGACCCTGCGCACACACCCGGCCAGGCTGAGCCCCCTCCGGGCGGCCGAGGGACCCCCGACACCCGGAGCCCCAGCGGGGCCGGGGACAGCACCCGACACGGAGCACACCCGGGGATGGGCACAGGGACACCGGGAACCACCGGGAACCACCGACCCCGCGTCCCCCCAGCGCCCCCATACCCGCATCCTCCTCGTCGAAGCTGTTCATGCAGGGGAAGTAGATGGCGAGGGCCTCGAAGGATGCGGAGAGGCTGAGGCGGCTCTGCGAGCGCTCCATGAAGAGCCCCTGTCCGGGGGCGCCGCCGGGGGTCTCGCCCGCGGCCGCGGGCGGCTTGGCGAGCTTGGCCGCCCCATTCTTCACTCGGAGCACGGCCCGCGGCGTCTTGGCGGCGGCGGGGCCGCGCTGAGGCGGCGGGCGAGGCGAGGCGGGAGCGCGGAGCGGAGCGAGCACAGCCACCTGCTGCCCGCCGGCTCTGGGCGCCGCCGCCGCCCCCCGCCCGCCCCGGCAGCGCCGCCGCCAATGCTGAGGGAGGGGCGGGCCGGCCGCGCCCCCCGCCCGCCCCGGGGGAGCGGAACGAGCCTCCCCCGCCCGGAGCGCGGCCTGGGCGGGCCGAGGGGCTCCGATCGCTCTGCCCCGACCGCGGAAGGTCCGTCCCGTCCCTGTCACAGAGGCAGTGCCGGTGGAGGTTTGCCTGTCGGTTGATCTGAGACTGACTGTGAAGTAACCAGACGGAGCGTGGCCCTGGGTTGGATCTCACTCAATTCCTTATTTCTTGCTGTTTGTGTTCAGGGAATATTGAAGGCTGAAGCCCCGAAGAGCCAGGCACGGTATAAACACAGAGTGAAAGCCTTTCTCTTCCCCAAGTCCTCGCTGTCTAAGTAGCCAAGACAAAGAACAGAAGGCAGTACGATTTTTCTTACACAAGTTCAGGGTATGAAGCATGGGAGTTTAGCTTGGCTTGTCCAACACTGCATAAGGAAAGTCTCCCTTCGAGCTGGGAGCTGAATGCAGATTTCCTGCCTTAATCTCAAGACTACCTTCTCAAACAGCAATGAACAACCTTGAGGCTTTAAGGAGGTTTCTTGCAAAAGGGGGAAGATAAACGACACCAATAGGATTGAAGGCGCAGCCCCACAGACACCGATGCTGGGACAAGGATGGCTCCAGAGAGCAGAGCCTGCAGCAACAGGGAGGGGGATCCATCCCTCACATTCGTAAAGGGATATTTCAGTCACTGCCCATGTCAGAGGTCCCTCTGTCTCCAGCCAAATCACAACAGCTTTTAACTCCATGCATTAAACTTTCTCTCCTTTCCTCCACCCACATCCCCAAAGTCATTATCATCACCCACCAACTGAACAGTCATTTCCAAGGTACCTCTCAGACACCAAAAAAAAAAAAATCCTCCCCAAAATATAAAAGCCAGTGTTTGGATGTATACAAGCTCCCAGGGGGAAAGCATATAAACCAGGATGTTTTCCTTGGTGGGTTACATTAAATGGGAAGGCAGCTGCCTGTTGTGGCTCAGCATTAAGCCCATTCTGCAACACAGTGCAACAAAACCTGGGATGGGGTGACACAGGACGTGTTTTCCAACAGCAGGTTGGTCTTCTCAGCAAGGTTACTGTCCCCTCAGGGCACAAGAGGAAGATATTCCTCATGTGCTTGGTCTGTCCACCCATCATGAACACCAACTGCTATCCCACTGAACACATGAAGCCACAGACTTATTTGTGCTATCCCAAAAATGCAGATTACAGCCCAGCATCTCTGTAAGAAAAACTGTGGCTAAAACTACTATACATTGAGTGCTGCAGAACAAGAGCCTGAAGTGAAAAAGTGTTTTCCCTCTCTAGTGCTTGGGCCCAGCTACAGACAACCAGAAGACGAGCAGACTGGGCCTCCTGGGTCAGTCATTCCCAGTGCTCTGCTTAACCCCACTTGAGCTTTAGAGCTGTAATTGGCCCAGAGATCTTCAACTTTCAAATACTGCTTGTTTTTATTTTTATGCACAGTAAGCAACATAAGAATTATAGCCCATAATATTACCTGTAGTCTTCTCTCAAACAGTTAATAAATCAATACGTTAAAACTCTTCTAATCTACTAAAAAACCTACCAGAGCTGAATAATTTTTGTGGCTGCCAGTATCAGGAAGCAAGAGCTGGGAAAGGGTGCCAGGAACAACCTGGAATGACCCCATGCCATGGGAGGTAGAGCAAGGTGTGGGGGGAATGGGATCCAGTAAACACACCAACTGCAAGGCCATCCGTGAAAAGCCAAACAGCAGTTAAAGAGCACATCTAAAACAGACTCACCTACAGCACAGCCCAGGCAAAAAACTGAAGGCCCCTGGGGTTGGAGGTTTAATAGAGCTCCTGGCTGAAGGTGTGAATGCGAGCCCCAGATGAGGCTTGTTGGGGCAATTAAAGCCAATTAGTGCACTCCCGGCCCTGGCATCCAGAGTCTTCATTACCAGTGATGCATCCAGAATGGCAGAGGTCATATGAATATCATATGCCAAGCTGAGTTTGCAGGGCTTCCCAATAGAAAATATGGTATTTAATTCAAAATCTAATCAAAATTTACTCTGGAGTTAGTGAGTTATATGAATTACTTCATCAAAGCTAGGCCAGGCAGGCAGTAAAGCAGAAGGAACAGAATGAACTTATTACAGACAATGATGACTCCAGGTCTGAGTTTTGAAAGGCAGGGGAATCAGCGAGGAATGTATTACCATATGTTTAAGATGAGATTTCAATAGCACCAATCAAGGCATTAGCAACAGCTATAGGGACAAATCTAAGTGCATTAAAGCTGTTAAGTCAGCTCCTGTCTACCAGTCCTGCCAGCACATTTGATCAGAGGAGCAAGAGGCATCTGTGAATCAAAATCTGCTTCCAGGTTGCCAGGCACAGGATCTACCTAAAATTGCTGAGAGCTGCTTTCTTTTCATTTAAAGAATGCAAGGAAAAACTTAAATGGGGAATAGAAATTTAATCTCAACTTCATGCTGTGGTCATCTAAACGTCTCTTGTTTCCCTACATCTTGAAAGCACAGTGATGGCAGACACTGTGGGTTGGAGAGCAGATCTGTTCCCACAACGCTCTTCTCTGTCCTTTGTTTTCTTCACCAGCACACCAGGACTGGAGACCCTTCTGCTTTTAGTGCTTTGAGATCTACCTTTGAGGTGCTGAGGAAGACCATCATCACCCCCACATCACCTTTGTGCACCTTTCTCCGTGCTCATCCATATCCCAGCTTCCTCTCAGACACAGTGTGAACCCCTTGTACCTGCACAGCTCAGCACCACTTGGAGGTCACATCCTCTCAAGGCTCCTTTTGTGCAGTTTTTTCCAGGCTGTTTCCCACCTCCCTCTTTACCATACCTGTGGGATCAACCATGCTCAAGTCCTTCCTGCTCCTGTCTGCCACAGAGGGTCTTGGTCTGAGTGCTCTCAGCATCATCCCTTGCCTTTGGTGTCATCTGCCTCTCATTTGCCTGCTACATCTTGCTCCTCAGGGCAGGGACAGATCTGTGTCCTGCAAGGCTCTTTGATTATTGGTTGGGCCAAAACATCCTAAACTAAAAGCATCTGCCTTAAAGTGGGACAAAATGCATTGACAGCTGGAAATCAAAGGGACAGTTAAAGGCATAATGCCCTCCAGATGCCTGGAGGAAACTGTTTATTTTGGCTGCCTGTTTAAGGGAAATACGGATTTGCAGTGAAGCTGGAAATTGTTAGTCTGTAAGTGTTCTTCTTCACTGATCAACATGGACAGAAAGATCCTTGGGAGGGACTCAGAGAAGTGAAGATAAGCAAGGAGGAAGGTTCCTGTGATGTTGTAAATAAGCTGGGAGTGCAACTGGGAACAAATAAACTCAAAGATTTAGTACCTCCAGAGCAGCACGTCTGTGGCTGCTCTAGTGGAAGTGGTTAATTGATTGTTTCCCCAGTGAAGCAGGCTCTGACTGATTGAACCATGGAAAGCTCTCATAGATTTTTCCTGCTGGCTCTTTCTCTTCCACCTAGTCACGTAGCTTATATTTTTGCCTTCACTCTTAGGTGTCTGGTTCAGCCTAGGAAGTTAGCTTTTATATACTGAAGCAAGAGGATATGCTGCCCTCTCCCTCTCGTACTCCCTACAGTTCGGTGTGTTCCTGTTTGGAAATAAAACCAAACTACCTGATTTGTGTATCTTTCTCTTTCTGCTCTGTCTGCCCACTGCTTGCTCAAAACAGAGCCCACGTGCTGGGAGCTCAAATGCAGCGGGGAAACAAGCCCTGCTAGTGAGAACACATCTCGTGCATAAATCTGCTCAGGGTAAATCCAGCAAGGGTGAGGAGAGCTGAGCTCCTCCCTGTCTCATACGACCCCTTCCCTGAGTGAAGCCAGGCAGTTCATAGCTGGCAGTACACGATGTTCTCCAGCTCCCAAAAGCAAATGCAGACTTTATCATCCCTGTTCTCCGGGGCTCTAGTTGATTCCCTTACAAGTTCCTCTTGGCCATTCTGGGCAGGCTGGAGGGCAGGATGTAAGGTGCTGAGCATGGATACACAGAACCAGGGAATAAACACCACAGGAGGGCCATGGTCTTGTGGCATTGCATCAACATGGGGTGATGCTCAGAGACACTGGCTCACATGCCCAACCACACCAAGCACCACAGCTTCACTGGGCTTGGTTGCTGTACACTTACATAGCAATACACATTTTAACTTATTTAATATTTCTTGCTGTTTGTGTTCAGGGAATATTGAAGGCTGAAGCCCCGAAGAACCAGGCACAGTATAAACACAGAGTGAAAGCCTTTCTCTTCCCCAAGTCCTCGCTAAGTAGCCAAGACAAAGAACAGAAGGCAGTACAATTTTTCTTACACAAGTTCAGGGGATGAAGCATGGGAGTTTAGCTTGACTTGTCCAACACTGCATAAGGAAAGTCTCCCTTCGAGCTAGGAGCTGAATGCAGATTTCCTGCCTTAATCTCAAGACTACCTTCTGCTTTTCACTAATAATAGAAGCAATATTCTAACCTTAGAAAAATTAAATTTTAAGCCAGACAGACTTTTACAACATCCTGTGTTGGTTGGGATCCAGGAAAGCCAGGAGTGCTCTGAGCCCTGCATAGCCCAGCCACATCCATGCCCTGGAGCTATGCTGTGTGCAGTGTCAGGTCACAATGCTCTGCCTTTACTCAAACCTGAAACCCCATCTAGAAGCTGATATCCTGTTGTTTTAAGTCACATCTCTCCTACACCCTCTTTAGCTATCAAAACCAAGCCCACAAAGGTGCTAAAGGACTAGTGAGACAGAGCTGAGAGGATGAGTAATGAGATGCTGAGCTGTCAGCCCCGGTTCCCTTGCTAGCCTTACTTTTTCTCACATTTGTGTAGCCAGCATTTTCCCGAGTCCAGAGAACTCAAGGCTTCACAGCACATGCTGCACTCTGGCTTTACTGTTGGCATTACTAAAACTGGACAGGTTCAGCCCATATTCAGTGGCCTCCAGCCTCTGGGAGCAGGAGTGTGGGAATGGGCTGGGTACTGCCATGGGGTGTAACTCAGCAGACCATCTTCTGCTCCACTGTGTCCTCACAAATGTTGGGTTTGGGGCCAGGCTCTTTTTGTTTCAGCCAGCCAGGATGGGTAAATTGATGTTAAATCAGGCTGATTCGTTTCTGATGACTGAAATGTGAGCCCAGATTGATGAAGTGCAGGGTAGTGGTGATTTGCAGACCTGTTGTCTGTTGCAATATTCAGTCACGAGAGAAAGGAAAGAGGAAGCACCTGCACCTAGAAAGTGCTGTTAAGAGCAAGTACTTGCTTACCCACTTCCCTGATTTATCATAAAACACACCAGATCCCCGGGGGCTGTGCTATTCCCCAGCTCTCCAGGCTGGGAAATGCTAGGCACAGCGAGGAAAAGCTTGAGAGATCTGGGAAAAAGAGAATGGAAGATCAAAAGCAAGAAGAAGGCCAAAAATGCTGAAGTGTGGGAGGCACAAAAGGAGCAGGAAAGGACTGGGGAGTTTAACCAGTCAAAAGAAGTTTTTCAGCCAGAGGCAAGTTTAAGAGAGCTGCAGAAATGGACTTGGGCACATCCTATGGCCTGGAGAAAAAAGAGACACAAAGTAGGAGCTCACGTACATGAACAGCCCATCTAGCTCCTCTGGAAGGATTCATAAGAGAAAAGCCCACCTGGAAACTCCATCAAGAGTCATGAGCATCACTGTATGAAAGCACCAGGTTGACAGGCCACCCATGACAGAGGGGTGCAGCTCAGGCAGGTGGGTGTGTGTCCTGCATGGGTGTGAAAACACACAGGCTGCTTTGGAAACCTGCACCACGGTTTCTTCATTCTACAAAACACTCAGTGCAGAAGGCATTTTGTGGCAAATATCCCAAGGGTTTGGGAGCAGGGTCCAGCAGATTGGC